AAATTACTCTAAATTGAAAAGCAATGTTGTATGCTATTTTTTTATTATTCTTTTAGTCAAACATGCAACATTAATTACATTGTTTCTTACATTAAAAAAATTAAAGTATTGTAAATTTCAAAAACAATGTAATAATACATGGCTCTTAATGTGGATTAATGATCTAATATTAGTGAGTGACATTATACAAAAATATGAAAGAAAAGCAATTCTTGTGATTATATTGATTAACTGTTTTAATTTGTGCAAAAAGAGAGAGAAAGAAATAGGCCCATATTTATGGAACTTAGTGAGTAATAGAGATATACATAAATATAAATGGGTATCTTTATAATTACCTCACCCAAACCACATAATTTATACAAATCATACCACACAAAATGTTGACACTGCATTGTCTCAATTATAGTACTTTATTAACCATTATATTACAAAATATCCTTCATACTTCACAAACTATTAACACTATATTCACCCGACCAATTTACCGCACTATTATTTTAGAATTCAAGCCAAACTTATACCACCTATATAATTCTCTATACTACAACAAATATACAATAACTAAAACTTGTGCAACTTAACACCGGAAATATTCGCCCTCCTGCGCAACGCGCAGGCCGTCCCAACTAGTTTATAATTTTAAAAGACGTCCAACCAAAAGGTCCAAAACATAACTAAACTGCTACTTTTAAACAGTTCGTGACATTATTGTAACTAGTGCTTGCTTGAGCCATACCTAATGTGCGTGCAATAAATTAAAATAAATATATTTATCAAAATTGTCTCTTTGTAATATTCTCTTACTAGTTAAATTGAAAGATGATGGAAGTTGACCAGATTACATGAAAGTGGTGGGGAGTTACTCCGTGTGAAGAAAGTAGATAACCTCAACAAATAACTCTCCACTAATCGTGGGGAAGTTTTTTTTTATTTAAATAAATTGGAATAAATTTACTCTTGTTATTAAAGGTAGATTAGAAATTTTAAAAAATGACACTGTGATGCTCAAGCATTGGTAGATGTAAAATCTAGTCACGTTATCTGTTGTTTTGGGGAACGAAAATGGGATACAAATATACTAGCGTGAATATCTGTGTTACGCACGGTGTTTACATTATTTAAAGAAATTTAAAAGAGATGTTGAATTTTTAAAAATTTTTTGTAACAATATAATTAAAGTTTGAGATTTGTCTAGCAATAGTTCAAAGGATCATAAAATGTGTAGATTATTTAAGAAATGCATTTTTGCGGAAGATGGATCTTGAAATAATAATAGAAATTTATATTAGAAAATAAATGATATATAGATAGGAATGAATGTAATCGCATGTTTTATTTGATTTCAAAATAAAATACTTACAAACATTATACATTCGATTTGATAATCTTGAACAAAGATACGGACATTTTTTACACCAATCAACTTTTAGTAAGAAAACCAATATTGGTGGTTTAATTATTTCTGTTGAATTTTGTGGAGTTTGTCCTACAAAAAAAAATATTCAGTATGACTTGTATTTCTTGAGAAGGAATTTTTAGTATGGGTAAGTCAGAATGCTTCCAACTCTTCATTTTTTTTTTAATAAAATTTTGACTTTTTAAAATTATTATATATCTTTTCATGTCTTTTGAATTCAAAAAGTGAGAAGTGATTGCACTTACATAGGATTTTGATATGAAATCTATTAATGTGAGCCTAAATAAAAAGGAAACATCACCAAACCTATTAAAAGTAAAAAAAAAAATTAATATTTTACCCTTCGACTTATTAATTCTAACTGAAAGGGCAAGTTATATGAAAAATAAAAAGAAAATAATATTCATTGCTCATGGATTTAAAAAATCAAGAATGATACCATTCATGAATAAAGAGGAAAATCAAGAATGATACCATTTAAATTATGAAATCACTAGCTAAACAACAACAAAGTACTGTAAGCTGAGCTGAGAATAAAGAGTTTGACGGAGGACGTGTGAGAGAGAGAATGCAAGAGAAGAAAACTGTAACCTGTTACTATTACTTAGTACTGTTGTCCTTGAACAATACAGCAAAGTATATATGTGCTGTCCTTGCAAAACTAAACTAACCCCCTGGACGGCAGGATGGGGGGAAATCCTAACAAAAAATTCAATTCATGCGTCACATTTTGTACTTTACTCCTTTGCATATGGTACAAAATTTTGTGCGGCTAAAAATAAAGGGTGTCCCCTTGGCTACTACAGTCTAGAGCTGGTAAACGGGTTTTCCTTTTGCTTCTGTTTTCCTCTGCTTGCTTTTTTTTTTTTTTTTTTGGGGCTAATACGGCAGCATCCTTTATAGCCTCCAAGCTCTTTTTGCCATCTCGGCTCCAGTCAGAAGTAAACAAAATGGCACCCATCATAGCCTGACACAGAGATTGAGGTAAATAAGAAATACTACTAAACTACTGCTAAGAAAACACTACTAAGTACTACCGCTCTATTCCACAGCCCGTATTACTACGTACCAATTATTATTATTATTGCGAGTAACAAGAAGAAGAAATAGTAAAGTAGTGCCGCCGCTACTAAATACTCCATTAGCAGTACTAATAGTAAAGCAAAGCAGGTTAGCAAAAGGAGGAGAGAGGGTTACTTGGATCCACGGTGACCAGCATTGCAGTCCCCCCGAATTCACAAGTCCCCCCCGCTACCTTGGTTCTCTGCCAATAGCTATTGAAGGCGTAGGATGCATGGGCCACCAACGTGTCGGGCTCAAAGCACGACCCGCTGGGCTGGATCTGATCGCATTCTGCTCCCGAAACGCATGCGTAGTTCATGGCCTCCTGGATGATTGGCCCTGGCACTGATGGCTTTGCCACGCACCAAAGGGCCGACGCGGGTTCTGTAAGCGGAGAAGGTGGCGGCACCAGCGGGGATGGGTAGACGTTGGGTGGCTGGTAAACTCGGGGGCTGCTGGGGGGGACAAATCCTCCTCCTCCTCCGGCGCTACCAGGTGGGTTTGGGACGTAACCGATTGGTGGGCTGGGCGGAGAATAATATGGCGCTGAAGGCGGTGGCGGGCTTGGAACAAATACAGATGGACTGGGAACATACGTCTCCGGGGGGCTTGGAGCTGCGATACTAGGCGTCTCCGGAGTCAAGGGAGGAGTTGGATATATAGATGATTCTGGCGGGCTAGGGACTGCGATACTAGGCGTCTCCGGAGTCGAGGGAGGAGTTGGATATATAGATGATTCTGGCGGGCTAGGGACTGCCGTCCCAACTGGGCTTGGGGGTGGGCTTGGGTTGGGGAATGGGAATGATGGGGAGTAAGAGGAGGAGGGTGGCGTCGGCGGCGGCTGCATGGGGAGGGTGGTTGGAGAGGGCGGGGGCAGCTGGGGAGTGAATGGCGGCGGATTCACGCAAAATGGAGGAGTGTTTTCTAGGAGAGGAAAGGGAGCGAGGGAATCATATGGCGGCAATGAGAATGGGGAACTCACCCCGTTACCGTAAGGCTGCGTATTTGAAGAAGATTCATCCAAAGGCCTGACCATGTCCACCAGAATCTCCATCAATCCGTTCATATTTTTGGCTTTTGGGGGATTTGGAGGTCCCATCTCTCCTGAATTGTGCGTAGAAGCCCTGACTAATACATCATGAGCTGCTGCTCTTCTTGCATCTGCGCATGCAACTCATTGAATCAAATATTGAAGCAAGTTTACTTAAATACACAGAGAGACTCGCTTACTAGTTATTACTAAAATTACCCAACACAACACAGGTGTCTGTCTATGTACAATATATGGCGGCAGATATATAACTCTTCTAATAGTTGACTGAGACTGAGCAGCTAGCTCAGCTTAGCTTAGCTGGTTGACCGACTCACTTCCTGTGGCTAACTCGTCTAATAGTAATATGCCTGCATCTTCTTCTACTACTTTGCAACACATGTACAACTGCAAAATGCAACTACTAATCCTTCTTCCCCAACAATAATGCCAATCAATTGGAAGGACAACAGGAAACGAAGGAATAAACTAACTGCAAGAACACACGTTCATGGTACTTACCACAATGTGAGAAGAAACAAGCAGCAAGGCACAGATAAAGATTTACTACTAATTTGCAATTGAGGCTCCACCACACTCTGCATTTTCCCCCCATGATATGTATTGATTGATCTGACCGATTAAGAAAAGAAAGAATGCCCCCCCGAGGCAATCGAGTCCTCCCTCTCCTGGTTTTAATTTGTACTTTTGTATGGAGGAGGAAGAGAAGCAAAATGCAAATGGAGCGTGTCAAGTGGAGTGGATGAGCATAATTAAGTAGCTGCGACTGCGAGGATATCTAGCCAAGAGAGCAACCGCGAGAGAGACGAGCAGTAGCCAACCGGCATGGGCATGTCGGCCCAAAAGACGATTCTTTCTTTCTTTATTTCCTTCCTTTAGCAGGACACTTCATCAGGAGAAAAAGAAAAAAAAATTAAATACCCTATTCAATTAGTAAGTAGATTGTAGATCAGAGGCGTGTGTGTGAGGTTTATGAAACAAAATTTAGGTGGCACACAGTACACACACCACCATATCCTTTCTCGATTAGTAGTGTATTTCTTTCTGGTTACTGTGCGTAGCAAGCATATATTCTTGCTTCACCTCAGAAAAATGCCAAAGGTGGAGGAGTCTTTCTGGAGTCTTTTCATTTGCTTGCTTTCTACTCAAAGAGCTCTCTCCCCCTCTCTTTTTTTTTTTTTTTTTTTTTGTCTCAGATAGAATACACAACAAAAGTCTGAGGAAAGCAGATCAGCAACGGGAGCACGAGCGCATATATGGATGGATTCATGGATGGGCGGAAGGTCTGTTCTGTTAATTACTGGTCAACATTAAAACACTATACACTACCGTACACCGTCACAGCATTAATTCAGAATCTTCGACAGTAACCCATCATCAATAATTCATAAATGATTGCCCTGCTGCTTGCCGCAAATTACTACCTAGTAGGCTAGTAGTAGTACTACTACTAGTTTCCAATAATTTTTAATCTTCTGGTTTGATTTCCTGATGTCTGAAGTCTGCATTGATCAAGACCGTGTGACTCTGAGTAGGAGGACAAACTCAGAAATTACGTACAAGTTTGTGAATTCTGAGCTAACCGGTTACTATTAATTTGAGGTGATCACCATCATCATGATAACTTCACCGGAAATCAAACCAGATGCCATGCCCACTTTAGCATCACCGTTCTCTCACTCGCAGGTAGCAGTAGTAAAGTGCTACTGAAATGCCGCCTAAAAAATATATGGCTGATGGTTTATTAAGGAGTACTATTGTGAAATGCTTTAGAAATTCAGGAACTTGAGCATCCAAAAAAAAAAAAAAAAGGATCTTGGAAACCTCATCTACCATGAAGTTTGCACTCAAAGGCGCGATTGGGTTGTACGTCTTTACAGTCACGCCTTGTATGATCTGATGTATTGTTGTTGCTGGTATAAAACGAATTGAAGGCCGTCGACGAATTAAATCATCTCTCTCATCAGTCTCACACCTTTATATCAACAACAGGAAACCATCCACCCACCATACAGAGCTTGATCAATTTTCTCCAAGTGAGAGCTGAGCTCCTCTGCTTCAGTAGTTAGTACTAGTTCGTTTTGACCTTTGATTTACCAATCCATCGGCAGAGAATTAGCCAGCTGGAGTGCTAGCCGATAATGGTCACTGATCACCTAATTCCCCTGTAACTAAGCATTTGACGATGGTCGAGTAATCGGTCCAGCGACACGAGATGTCAGGTCAGAATGGTGAAAAAAGTTAGGCTTTCTTTGGGGGTTAGTATTAGCATAATGGAATAGTTTCGGGAGTCAATAATTAATTTAAGATGGGGGGAAAATGTGCAATTCTGGAATCTCCCTCCGTCGACGCAATTCAAATAAAAACCGAGAGCGCCTTTGATTCGTTCCTTCAACGGTAAACTGCTTAGTGCTCACCCAACATTCAAAGAAGACGAAGAAAAAGGAAACCTTTCTCGTCTAGTCGCCGTCGGCAGCCGTCACTCTACTTGTCTAGTGCCGTCCGTCGGTGTAGTGGTTCGGAGGTATCGTTAGTAGCAGTACTCCCCATTTGTTGCTTCTCAAAGAAATTCATTTTCGATTTCAAAGTGCGAACACTTTTAGTCTGCTTCACTTTTACTAAAAAAAAAAACCCTAACTTCATGGTTATGAGTACTAAAGAAACCCTAATCTTTAGTAGTTATGAGTACTACTAACTATTATATCTTCCTCATTTGATTGTTTCAAACGCCAGTTGTACAGTAACCGTCTTATCTTTCACAGTTCCATGCGCTCTTATGGAGTACTAATCAATTTATGCCGTTCTGGAACACACACACACACACCAAAAATTTTGGAAGACAAGTGAAGTAGTATAAAATAGTAAGTGAAATTTGTTTGATTGGTTGCTTATTACGAAAAGTTCAAATCAGGTGAAAGAATTTTGAAGGAAGGGAAATCCCACTCCCCCCAATACATTCTTTGAACAAAAACAAGAAACTCTCTGCCCTCTCAATCTGAAGCAAGAAAATATTTGTGCGAAAACAGCACCGGACGCACAAATGGTGGCCGTTGCAGTTAAGGTATTCCAATCCACTCTTCCATTTCGCTTCTTCCTCTTAGGAAACTACTTGCTTCTGCTTTCATTTTTATTTCTCTTTGTTTTTTTCTGTTAATTCTTCGTTCAATTCTTGATTTCTTTCTTTCTGTTTCTAAGTGAAATTACTGCTTAAAACCACCAGAAGTTCAATGTACGGTATATGTCTTTGATGATATGCTTCTATTGAATGAATGAATCAATTTTATTAGGGTAAATCCAAACCTTCACATCAAGTCATCGAGGAAGACGCCAATAAGTCAACCAAGAAGAGCAACACTGGTGTTAATTCCTTTCTTTTTCTTTTCATTGAACCGTTAATTCATTGACTTTACTTCAGTTGCTTAATTTTGTTCTTTATTTTATTATTCTTGATGCTCCCTTAACGTAGCCCTTGGACGACTCCCATCTTTCAAGATATTTGCAGAACCGCCACCACCATCTAATGGCGGGAGACGTTTGGGCAGTGCAACTGGCTCTCAGGTTTTAGCGTTTAGCTTCCTTTTTGTCATTTATCCATTTTAAATTTTGTGTCCAAATACTGCGCAATTTACATGACATGAATGTATTTGAGCATTTATGGTTTGTGATATACAGACTGATGTGTGCTTTTGTATGTGGTTTTTGCTGTTATTTCATTCACTACAAAGAGTGGTATCAAGAACTTGGAGAAGAACAATGGCAAGAAGGACAGTTCTGGTAAATTCCTGTACTTTTTGATGAGATATTGAATTTTGTGTCCTGGGAACTTAATTTGTGACCTCAACTCCTGCTTCAGTGAAAGCAAATATCGGAAGAAAAGTTTTGGCTGATATCAGTAATGTCAGGGGAAGCTTTTCAGGGCCAAAGGCACACAATAAATCCAAATCATTGTAAGTGAAGTTTGCCATTCAAAAAGCAGGCTTTCTGACAATTCATCTATCTCATGTCTTCCTTTAGCCCATTCATGGATCTAGAATCCGTGAAAGCCAAGGTGAATATTCGGTAAAACATGATTAATAAACCTGAAAAATGGTTTATTTTTCCCTAATGCTTATGTCATGAAATTGTACATGCATATTAGCTTACAAATCAAAGAACTACGATGTATTAGACTATATTGTGAGGGTTCTTATACACCACTAATTTGACATGTGTTCGCCATGAGGTTTAATACTGAAACACCATCTTTCAAAACAACCTATGCTTAGATCAGCAGTTTCAGAGGAACCGTCTGTCATTTACCTTTCATCCCCCTTGGCATAATACCATTTTATAGCATTATTGTTAATTCGTCTTCCAGGTGTATTTCTAGGAATTCAGCGGCTGGCACTCAGGCTGGGGGTTGTTCATCAAGAATGCCTTTCACTGTATGCAAATCAAAATTGTTTCACGTGTAGTGACTTGTTTTGAGCTAATTTTGTGATGTTTCTTTTGACCTGGACTGCTTTTGTTATTTTCAAGAGGTATAATTGAAAAACTGAACTTTTCAGTATGCAACAGACACTGAATTTTTGTCATCATGAAACAGGGAATTGTGCGGAACAACATGACTCAAGCTTCTGGAAGCCACCACACTGTGAACAAGGGTAAGACATTTACTTTTGAAAAAGATTTGAATAACCTCTTAATGATGTCATTTTCCTGTCTTGGATGGCATTAGCTGACAAGGATATAAAGATCACTTCCTCTAATGACCTTGGGACTTTGACTCGAGGGTGCAAATTCGTTGACACGAGTAGGTAAAGATGCTTCAGCTATTCTCGTCTATTGTTGAATTTGTACATCAAGTATGCTAGTATTTGTTTAGTAGATCCTAGAATATCTTCCTTAATGAAAGTCTAATCTTTTTTCTTTTCTCTGTATGTCAGGAAATCTCGTGGGGATTATCTGCCTCCAATAAGGTCTGTGGGTTTATGGACAATTCCTTGATTGATCTGTTAATTTTGGATCTCTTTAGTGACATTGATGTACCTTTTTTTTTATGTTGCTTGAAGAAAATCTTTCCCAGTAACAGAACAAGTCAAAAAGGTTCCTATGAATGGTACAAAGGAGGTAATGAAAATACTTATTTACTGCCTATTAGTAAAACCATTTATGGTTTGATTTTGAGATGTAGAATAATTAGGTCCTCCACATTAGTATTGATGCTCTTTCCTTTTCGGATATCTATGCTTTCCTTGTAGGAATCTACTGAAAGCTCTGAGAGGCGTAGGGGAAAATATGGATTTCAAGGTGAGATCCCATGAATTGAGCAGCTTGTCCACATTTTCAGTAAGTGCAAAAAAATTAACGACATTATTAACAGTCTAATGTGCTGTACCCTTTGTTGCTTTCAGTTAACTCCAAAGTTGGCAGAAATGTGGCTTCCCGGGTGCACAACTCTCAGAATCATCTCCAGAAAGTTCGAGTTAGTGATGGATACATGGTTATGTAAGTCATTGCTTATAATCCGCTTTAAGACAGTTTTTGCTCTTGCAACAGAATTCACGCTTCACAGCTATTTCAAATAATTCTCTTCAGGGTTTTGCAAACTGTGACCAGAAACTTTATTTGCTTTTTCATCATATTGTGTTTCTTGCCTTCTGATAATTTGGCGGGCAAAAAGCTTAATTTTCACGTCTTGTAAGTTCAACAAGCATAGTTTGAGTTTTGGAGTAAAATCAGTTTTTGTCCATGTGCTTAAAAGTTTCTATTGTATTTCTCTCCTTGTAGAGCTGGAATATTACTTATGCAGACATTATGAATAGGTCCATTAGAATTATAAGCCTTAACTCTATGGCCAAGAATCTGACAGAGAGAGAGTGTGTGATAAGAACAAGGTTCTCTCAAAATTAATACATCATACTAATAACTGCATTTAAAACCTTGAATTCAGGGCTTCCAAAGGTCGACATAACTCTAGACCCGGAACAATTTCAAGAAGATCTGTCAAAGTAAGTGAATTATTATTTTTTATCTTCAAACTGTGTGACTATGTTGCTGTTTTTATTATTTTTTATCTTCAAATTGTGTGACTATGTTGCTGTTTTTGTTGTTATGTTTATGCAAGCCAAGTGCGGAAACACGTTCACCATCCCAAAGGAAAATGATAGAATTTTAAGCACATCAGATTAAGCATAAGAACTTCTCATTTCATTTCAATTTATTACCTTATATATAGCAGAAAATGAGTCTGCTCTACGCCACTCTAGAATTCTTCCCTTGCCTAAGTTATGTGTTGACTCTGTTTCTTGCTGAAACCTTTGATATGGAAACTCTGAAGGGTGAGAAGGCTTTTGTTAAATATCTTGTAGAATCTTGAAGGAAGTTTCCTTATGCAGGTCAGGTAGGAAAATATTCTGTAAAAATCATGAATTTGTGTGATGTCATTTAATGCAGATATGGATACTCTTTACCGATTATTATGTACATTTTCTTCTGTCTCTCTTTCTTCCCCAGTGTATATTTCTATGTCCGCCTCTCTCCGCAGCCTGTAGGCACACTTTCAAGTCTGCCCTTTCTTTGTCGAAGCTACATGCTATTGTTCATATTCAAATCAGGATGTACTCGAGTTTGTACATGGAATATTTTTCTTGGTGATTCAATACGGGGCATATTAGGATGGTAATTACCATCAGCACCACATCATATTTGCATCAACTGGTCTATTTTACAGTTCATTAAAAGAATAATTTAGAGCATATAGTTTCCTTTCCTAAACTAGATATTAATTTTAAATGGATGTCTAGGTTGAAAGGACCTTAAACTCAAATGGTGTTTGTGGCTTCAATAAGCCACCTGCTGGTTCTGCTGCTTCGTCCAACAGAAAGGAGGAAAAGGCCAAATGTTCTTCAACAAAACATGTTGCATCAGTAATTCTCAGTGGACAAACTGCTCAACACGATGTTTCTTCTTCTAGCAAGAGTGACTCAGATAGAACTACAGCAGATAATGTTTCTAGGAGAAAACCTGATCGAAGAAAATCTTTTACTTCTTTACTGATGTCACAATCAAAGGTCACTGCTGGCCTTTTCTTCCTATGGACTTCTGTTTCATCCTGCTAGAGGCTTAAATGTCTTCATATTTTTCTGCTGCTACTAAAGGAACCTGAATTTCCCTTGTAGGATGATTTGCCAAATATCTATGATAATCATAATCATCTTGAAGTTACTGAATATGTTGATGACATCTATCAGTATTACTGGGTTTTGGAGGTGATTTTCGATCTCATTTCTTCATTATGTTATTTTAATTCTACCTGTTAATGTGATTTTCTCCTGGAGTTATAGACACATTCAAAGCATGTCTATAAATGCAAGGTTAATTTTTACTTTTTTAATCACATCAATGTTTTTGTCTGACATTATGGAAATTGGCTCTTAACACAGGCACATAATCAGCCGTTGAAACATTATTTGGATATCCAGAGTGAAATTACACGTCAAATGCGTGGCATATTGATCAACTGGCTCATTGAAGTTTGTTTTCTTATGATAAACATTTTCTTAATGCTTTTTGAACTTTTTTCCTGTTTTTTCTTATTACCACCTTTTTTTCAGGTACATCTAAGGTTTGATTTGATGCAAGAAACACTTTTTTTGATGGTTACACTATTAGACCAATTTTTATCCTTGGTAAGCATCGGGAAGAACAAAATGCAGTTAGTTGGCCTTACTGCACTCTTGCTGGCATCAAAATATGAGGATTTTTGGCATCCAAGGGTAAATTTATGAATGAATACAACTTCTGCAAGTTTCTTATACATAATATACTGTTGTGCAATTGAGGTAGTTCATGAAGGGTCAACTTTCTTTGGTTCTTGGCTACAGATCATGGACTTAATTGGCATTTCAGCAGATTCATACACAAGAGATGAAATGCTTGGAATGGTGAGTGAATTGCATGTTTACAATATTTATCAGCAGGTTTTGATCTAGCATCTCCAAGTAGGTATTCAAATAGTACAAGTTTGTGCTTGTTTGCTCTTGGTAGACCAGTCAAGCAAGGCACTTTCTTATATAGTACCTGTCTTCTTTCTAGGAGAATACTTTTCTAAAGGCACTCAAGTTCCGTCTGAATTCACCAACTCCGTATGTCTTTATGCTACGGGTCCTTAAGGCTGCTGGATCAGATACAGCGGTATGTCACAGACCTTTTCCAATGTAGGTTGATTAAACAGACTATTTTCAAGGATCTTTAATAAGTGCTTCAGAAGGGTATCATTTCATCTGTATTTTTGGTGTTTGTGGATCACATCTGTAACTTTCTCATCTTTTTGCCTTCCTAGTTGTTTTGATGTTGGTCCCTAATCTGTAACGTCTTTTGTCTATTGGGATTTCTGCCAGTTTGAACATCTTGCCTTTTACCTCATCGAGCTGTGCTTAGTTGAGTACGAGGCTTTGAAATATAAGCCCTCATTGCTATGTGCATCAGCCATCTATCTCGCTAGATGTACAATGGAAATGAATCCAACATGGACCCCACTGCTTGAGAAACATTCCCGCTACAGAGAATCTCAAATCAGGCAGGTTTTTGCCGGTTGAATATTCTTTATCAGGTTGCATATATCTATCGTGATTTAATCATTTTCAAATTGGAATATCGCAGAAGCTGCGCAGAGATGATCTTGAAATTTCACAAAGCTGCTAAAACAGCTATGCTGAAAGTAACATATGAGAAATACATGAGGTTTGAGTTCGGCAGGGTTGCAGCTATAAATCCAGTAGAAGTGCTTCCCCAGTGCAGTCATGAAAATCAATGTTACAAGAATTGAACAGAGCTAAAATTTAGATGATGAGGGCTAGATGGACTGCTCATATAATGAGCTGAAACCAAATCCATTGTAATCTTGCCCAGACATGCGACTCAATTGTCGCTGAAATTGTTGAACATAGATGTTGTATTGAGAAATATGATTCTAAATGGTAGGAGCCAGACACTGGTTTGGACGTATTGTGCACTATAATTAGATTGAAGCCTTATATCGGACCTGAGCGACACCAGTTTTACTCTGCAGGAGGTGTACGCTTGGTAGGAAATAAAGCAAAAGGCCAGCCTGAAATACTAGCAAAATGACTATCATAGCTTTTACAAAAGATGGTTCTATTAAATTGGTTGGCAACAAAATGTGGAGTGCTGTTCAAGCTGAACTCCGTGGTGCTTACGGACAATACGAGGAGTATATATATCACTAACTGCAGATGATAAAGAAGGGACAGCTCTAAGCTAGAAAGACGAGTGAAAATTGCATAGCCTAACCAATAAAAATTTGCACACGGTGAGCTCTCTTTGATCAATCAGAACTTTAAGACGGCTCGGTAAAGAACTCAAAGATGGTGATTGTTGATGAATACCACTACATTGCAGACAGAGACAGAGAGAAAGTTCTAGATAAAAGAGGAACTGAACGAAATTGTAGCAGCAGAAAAATAATAGACATGGGCAGGCTTTATTAGAATCAACAGTTAACAGAAGCTATACATACCATTCGAATCTTATTAGCAAAACAATGCCGAAATCCTTCAGCATAACTACAAAGTATATAATAGGTATGCGTGCGCGTGTACTCGTGTTCCTTTGCTGAAGTTATCGTGAACTGCCAAGTGAATAATGCATAGCATTTGCATTTGCATATAAAAAGTTTGAGGCACCTAATAGTAATGCCCTGAAATACGTGTTCTCTATGAACAAGGAATTAAGCAATCTTGAGAAATCAACGATGTTTCTCTGTCCAAAGTCTCCTTGACGGCTCGGTAAAATTCAACCCAGGAAGAAGAATGCACATCGGCAGGTCCCCAGAGAAATGTAGGATTTGGGCTGGTAGGACACGAAGCAACCAGGTCGAGCACAGAAGCCGCAGGTTTTAGGGGCTGTGGGAAGTTGAATGCCAAGTTATCAACTTTGTGCTCGTAGATTTTACCGTTGCGGTCCAGCTTATACCTGGAGGTGGCCTGGAATTCGCCCCTGGCCTCCCAGGGGACCCGAGGAACACCCCTCAAGTTCCATCTGATCAGAATCAAATTCTCAGACGGCTGCCAAATCCTAAGTAGTTGAAGTGAAATCTCCCTAAACAAGATTCTGCCGTGGAATCTCAAAGCCCAGAAGATCAGTTTGTACTTTTCAATCCCAGCGAAGGTGTTTAACGGGTCCACGAATGTGATGTCATCCCTGCTCCTCCGAAGTGCCAAAAGGAAGGAATTTTAGTAGAGCACTTGCTACCAATCCATTATTCAGCTGATACGGTATTTATATATTTATCCACAAAAAGTGTGGCCAGATTTTAGTTACAAAGGAAGCATGAGTTGAGAGAATAAGCGGAAAAGGGAAAAGAGTACCTATAAATGTCATAATTGAGGTCTTTGGTGAAGAGGAGAGGGAGGTCTTCCCTTAGAGTCCGCACAGCCAGACCCAGGTTCACAAAGAAATCATCCCTGTGGTCATGTTGCTTATTATCCTGAGGAGAAGCAAGAGCAACGGCAGCAGTCGCGGTGGCACAGGTGGTGGGGTGGTGGAGGAGTAGGTGGTGGCGCGGGTGCTGCAGCTGCTGCTTGGTGGGAACAGAAAGAGAGGAGGCCTGCCTAGGAGGCGGTGGGGGTAGAAGCAGAGGAGGAGGAGGAGGAGGAGGAGAGGAGGGGTGGAGTGATTTTTCCTTGGAGTGGATGATTGTCGGGGAGAGGTTGGGCAAGATATATGCCATCCCAGGGCTTCCCGAGTTAAGTAGCAATTTGGCAGAATTTGTGTTCTTCTTCTTCGCCTGTGCTTTGATATACCAGAATTAAATTAAAATAAAGTCCCAACTGACAATTTATGGTGGGACTAAGTTCCGAAACGAACGCAGACCTCTCTATCTATTATCTTTTGAGGAGGGTCCTATTCTATTCGTATCTATCTTCGAGGGTGCGAGGCCAAACAGACAGACTCTCTCCTATCGCATCGCAGGGCGCAGCAGATAGAGAGTATCGACGAAGAAGAAATGAAATGAGAAAACAGCAAGACAGAGCTGGTTGATTTTTGCATATTTTGTTGTGCTCCTGAGAGAGTTGTAGGATTTTGATGAGTGGTTTTGATTGAAGGATGCCATGACACGGCTGCATTTGTCCAAATTCAATCTTTCAGTTCCGAGTTCGACACCCCCATCTTCCATTTGGTCTTCTTCAGGATATGTAACCAACCCATTTTACACTTTTGGGCCCTGGAAACATATGTCCAATTAATTAGATTAAAAAACAATGACCCATTCGCGAGGCCTTAACTCCCTCCCTCTCTTCCAAGTCAAAATTAACGCCTGGATTGAGAATGACTCGACCCACCGTCTTTGGATAATTGAGTAGTTTCAAGTCCCGTTAGGATTGCGCATTCTTTTTAACCGAACAAATTTCTCAATTACTTTTCTTACCTCAAAGTTGGTGATTCTGCAGAGGATGGGGAGAAGGGAATGGCCTTTGGCTAACATACATTAAATAAGAGCCTTCAAAAGGAAGATAAGCACAGCACCCCTCCCTCCATAAGGGCAACTTCTCTAGTTCTAACACCTGAGTTAGTATATATATATATATATATATGGATATATATTTAGGGATGTACGCGAGCCGAGCTACTCGCGAGTAGCTCGGTCAACGGCTTGGCTCGAACTCGGGTTGACCGAGTTCGAGCCGAGTTTCGAGTAGCTCGATTGGCGTTCGAGTCGAGTTTTGAGTCTCAAATTTTTGGCTCGAGGCTTGTCGAGTAGCTTGTCGAGCCGGGCTATTTAAATAATACATTTATAATTTAAATAATATATATGTATTATAATTATAAAATGACTATTATGGGTATAGGTTATACGAAATTTACAATATACTCTTCTTTATAATAAAATTTTATAAGGGTAAAAAAGTAATAACATAATTATGAAAATACCTAAAAAGAAAAAATGTCTAAAAAATGCCTCAATTTTTTGGTCGAGTCGAGTCAAAAAACTTGATTAGACTCGGCTTGATAAGGGTTCACTAAAGGTCGAGCTTTATCGAGTCGAGTTTCGAGCTTAGAGCGAGTACATCGAGTCAAGTTTCGAGTATCAATTTTTTTGACTCGAGTTCGAGCCTAGAGATATATGAGTCGAGTCGAGCTCGAGTATAGCACTACTCAAACTTGACTCGATTACATCCCTAGTATAATTAAAGGGAAGGGTTGGACGGGGAATGTGCCAGCATCTCTGCCCCTTTTTTTTTTTTCTTTTGTTGAGGGCAACGTACAGCGCTGAAAACACTATCGTCAACAAATGAGTGCATCAGAGACTCTAATTTGTCGCCTCCCAAGAGACCCAGACCAACCTATAGTAAATTTTCCTTCATCACTAATACACTAGTATTAGAATTTACAATTGTGGCAACTTCCGTTTCTGTTTGGTGGGGGTCGAAGAATGGCACTCTAATGACTAATCTAATCGACCCCCATTAGTCCAAAGAGAGCGACAATAATGATAAAAATAAGAAAGGAAAAATGGTGAAATCTACTGCTGCTTAAGAATTGCATAATTGCATCAAAAAAAAAAAAATTGCATAATAGCAGCGGTAGTATTTCGTAATTTTGCTTAGGATCGATCAGAACGTGTAGGGATGTGAGGGAGGAGGCTCAGAACATTTGATTGGTAACATCATCAACAAAGCCCTCTGAAGAAGCTTTTCAGAGTTTGATGGTATTTCCTGCATCACTGCCCCCTCTTCTTCTCCTTCAAGTCTCAACAGCTACCCCACCCCCCAAAAAAAAAGAAAAATAGAAAAACTCTCCCAAGAGAGCACAGGTCTGCGGCAATTTTGGGAGACTCACTGGAGACCTCAGAATATAGGCTTTAAGAATCATCAGAGAAAGGATCTAAGTGAGATCCTCAATCAGATGGTACGGACAATTTTACCGATACATCACAGGTCCCAAATGTGTGTGTGTGTGTGTGTGCGGACTAAAATATTAATAAAGAAAAACAGAAAACATTTGGATCTCACGTATTGTTTTACTCTTTTGCTAATGTTAGTGCGTGTTTCTCTCTGGAGCCGCTTCCGGCGACGGCCGGACGTTGCTCTCATCCAAGTCCAGGGACCGGAGGACGACGACTCTGAGTTTCGGTAATGGCTGTACATACATATATATATATATATAGTACTACTCCACCAACCTATTATACACAAATTTGAAGAAAAAAAAAAAAAGGAGGCGGACTCAGAAAACCCTAATTCATGTCTTGTACCGCTCAAATTACCAAAATGCCTCCCCTCCTCGCACTGGATTTTTTTGTACGGCCCACCAAATGGCCAAATCCTGCCGGCTAATAAATTACACTAACTTCTCTCCGGTCAATAAAATGACTACAATACCCTCTACTTAATAGATAATTTACCACATATGTGAAATACAAAAACCAAACCAAAAGTAAAAGAAAAATATAAAAACCTCAACAACTCGTCGTCATTTTCAACCCTATTTTAATTAACAACAGTTTCTTTTCACTTTCCCTCTATTTTTTTCTACCTCTTATGATTCTCTCCTTCTTACTTATAACTGCACAGTCTCTTTCGCTCATCAATTACACCACCATGCAAATCTACCATAAGTGTCTATTTCTTTCTTTCCGTAGTACTTAACTATCAGGCCCTTGTTTATTTCTTCTCGTATTATAATTTACATATATTAAAGAATTAAAATTTTCAAAATTACAAATTGATGAAGCAAATGAAAATTTCATGGTCAAATTAGATGGAGATGATGAAAATGGTTGTGATAGAGAGGAAAAAAATGAAATTAATGGGCTATGATTGGAAGAGAAGAAGGGATGACTCTGGGTTATGCTATTATGTCTATTAGACACTAGAATCTAATATCTTTATTTATTTTCATTTTTGTTTGATTTACAAGTATTGGTGGTGGTTTGTCATAAAAATTAGTTTCTCTGTTCATAACGCCATTAGAGTATGGGGTTGTTCTTGGCATAAACATCAATAGTGGTTGGCCAG